TATTTATTTAATTTTTTTATTTATCATATAATTATCTATGAAATACCTATATTTTTCCATTACGTAAAAAATTGATATTTTCACTAGTGAAAATAACATACTCGTGAGAGATCTTTTCAACACTCAAAGATAAAATCCGTATCTCCGCGCGCCCATGTAATATCCTCTATTTATTACATCACCATTTGAAACCAAGACTGGTACTTAAAAATTTGAACCATGTGTTGAATATTATTGGATTTTACCGAAGGAGAAAAATATTTCTGTGTGAGTCACAAATATTACCATTTGCACTTAGTACCCTTTTTTGCACACACTCTTTTTTTTCTTTTTTGTTGTTGTTGTTGTTGTTGTTGTTGTTGTTTTCTCTTAAATAAAGTTATGATATGTTTAAGTAAAAAATAAATGATAACTATTGCTGGTGGTCCCCGGAAGCCTTGACGGGGTGGGCCAGCGTAACCTTGAGGAGGTAGTCCGGCTTTTTCATGTTTTTGTGGGTATGGGTTCTGATAAGGAGTAGGAGCTCGACCAACAGGCTGTAGTGGCACGGCCTGGGGTTGAAGATGTCCCCCATCGTCGATAAGATGTCAACCTACCCAGACTTTAACACAGAAAATAGTTCTAGCAGGTCCCAAAAATCAATGCTTTAGTAGTCTGTCGATTTGTGTTGATAACATTGACGTTTAAATTCTAACCATTAAAAATAACAAAACTTGTATTGACTCAATAACTGCATGCGCACGTCCTGCATTCTGATAAAATAGCCAGTACACGCGCGCGATGATCAGCCAATTTAAGTAACAATTTTCGCTTTATATGAAGCTGAAATCAGTTACGACAGACGCTCACATTATCTGGGGTGTAGATTACTTCACATAAAAAAACCGCTGACCACTTGTATTGAACCTAAATGACAATTATTGAGTTATTGGAATATCTTTTATATTTGCATAAGGGTAGAATGTGCAATGTCAGTGACTTTTCAGAACTGTCYATACATCTCTATTATAATCCCGTCACCATAAGATTTATGCATAATGCTCCAAAATTCATAACGAAAAACTGTATAACATTCTTCTTTTAAAAAYKTTATTGACTCMCGGTCTCTAAGTTACTACATTTGTTTTTTGTTCCTTATGAAAGTAGTAGAGAAGAGGGCCAATAAGATGCCGTGTTATATATATGCGCGTGTTGTGATTGGTTGTTTGAAAATAAATAATTACACAAGTACAAAGTACATAACCATTGGTTATGTACTTCTGATAATTATCTGCAACCAACATTGCAGGCTAACGAGGTATTGGGATCAGG